AAGGGGAATGAGGAAACACACTATCTTGGATACTCAGTGGAACCAAACTGGAATTCCTTCTAGGAAGTACCTGTGATTCAGAGATTGTGTCTAAAATTTATAATACAAAAATTACCACTGATAATTGGGTAGTAAACTAACACCCAGATCTGGACAGCTCAGAGACCGCACACATCTCCAGGAAATCTCCAATATTGCAAGTCTAGGCCAATAATCTACTCTTTCAGGACCCTTAGAGAGCACAATAGACTCACGTCCTGAAAAACCTTGTATATGGATTACCTTACCACTTTAAGAAGCACAAAAGGATTCAATGAATCCAAAATTGTCACAAGATTCAAATGGTTTCTATGGGCCATAGAACCTCGGTGCAAAATAGTTGGTGGGAACTGTTCTGATGCACAGAGCAGGCCTGTTGGAGTCTGTTGAAGAAACAACGTATCAAGTTCTGTTTGGATTTAAATCTACTGGCAACACCAATTCATTTTAACTTCTTCAGCTGGTAAGACAGAAAAACAGGTAAGGGCCTGAGGTTTTTCTGATTACCAAATGAGCTGGTGATTTATGCAGTATTGGATTAGGTTAAAGCAAAATCTAATTCTACAAATTAAGTGAAAAATATAATGTTTTATGTGTACTGATGCTGAAGATTTCATTCCAGGGAGATTAAAAAGTAAGTATGTATTTAAAACTGAATAAAGATCTCAAGAAAAATTTTGTGTTTAATAGCATAGGAAGAACTATGACTGCCTCTGAAGCTTTTTAGATAAAAAAGAACTTGCATGATTTTGGATTTAAGAACTTCTCCACCGGTGTGCTCAACGCTTCTACCCTCCAACCCCCTTTTCCTGATATCTGAGGGAAGTAAGAAAGGCTAGGATTGATGGTTTTCAAAGCCACCTACTTGATACCATTGTTCTTTTAATTGTAACTAAAGCTCTCAGTTTTTGGCTTTATAATGACGAGCTCTAGTCCTCACCTTATGCCCTCCCTCCCTGCCACTGTCCACTGCCCTCAACCACCAGGAACGGAACCTCTTTTGAACACAGGGATCCATTTCTTCCCTGTTCCCTCATTAGTCCTGACACTGTGCCTAGCAAACAAAAATTGCTCAATAAGTACTTGTTGATGGAAGTAGCGAACAGAATTGGGCAATGTGCAAAGCACTTTGCTTAGCACAAGGAATAGAGGCAAAACACTCAGCAAGGGCGCCTGGGTGGCTCAGATGGTTAAGCGTCTGCCTTCGGCTCAGGTCATGATCCCAGAGTCCTGGGATCGAGTCCCGCATCGGGCTCCCTGCTCCTTGGGAGCCTGCTTCTCCCTCTGCCTCTCTCTCTCTCTGTCTCTCATGAATAAATAAAAAATAAAATCTTTAAAAAAAAAAAAAAACACTCAGCAAAACGGCAGCTCTCACTTTTCCAGACTACCTCTACCCAGCCCAAGAGAGCAACTGTGAATTTTGACTCCTAATGTGACAGGAGTATAGTAGCTCTGCAAAAGAGCTCTTGTCATAAGAGATCAGGGAGTCAGTACCATAGGGTTCCGTCCAGGAACCGTGTTTGTTCTGCTTGGGGAGCAGAGTACGTGTGACAGGGCTCTTGTGCACGAGTCGGCTCAGGATAAATCCTTAATATTCCTAAAACATTCTAAAATACAATCTGTACTGGCTGCCTTCAGTCTAACCTTGCTTTTAACAATCCTTGCCAAACAGAACTTTAATCATTGTTTTAGCAGCCTCCAAATTACACTAAGCCCAGCTTTACCAAAAATTAACTCATTTGGTGGAGGGGGGATGCGGGCACTGGGCGGCACCCCTCCCTGGACCTTCCACAAATGGACATAAAACACTCAAAATCTGTACTTCTTTCAACTTGCCAAGCATTAAATATTGTCTGTTTGGTATAAATGTCTACTAGATTCCACATACCATCTTTGGACTATCTTAAACCCATAAAAAAGTCTTTTCTAACTAGAGAGAGGAGAACAAATTGAGGCCAATGACTTCTTCTCTGACAAAGCAGTGACCACTGGACAAGGCCTGTGCCTTGTCTAGAATCTCCAAGTTATACTGCTTAAGAAATTACAGATTTCCATTTTTTTCAGATCAAATGTGGCTAGACCTACCCTCTTCTTCCAGTTTCTCAAAGTGAATCAGCACCATTGTTATCAACCCACAGAGAAGGAAATTAAGGGGGAAAAAAGGGTTTTTATTAATAAAGAACTATGAGAACCTTTTCTTCCTGTCTTGTATTAAAAACGAAACAAAAACAAAAATAACCCTCAACTTGTAAAGAGTAGCAAAGGTCTGATTCAAAGTTAATATGGAAAACAATGGTGTATAACTAAGTTAATATACTAAACCTTTCTTTTCATCCATAATCATTTGACTTGTTTGAGCTTAAAAAGTTTTTTTCGGGGTGCCTGGGTGGCTCAGTCATTAAGCGTCTGCCTTCAGCTCAGGTCATGATCCCAGGGTCCTGGGATTGAGCCCCACGTCGGGCTCCCTGCTCAGCAGGAGGCCTGCTTCTCCCTCTCCCACTCCCCTTGCTTGTGTTCCCTCTCTCGCTGTGTCTCTGTCAAATAAATAAATAAAATCTCTTTAAAAAAAAAAGTGTTTTTTTTTTCACATATTTAGGTCAACCGGCAGCCACATGTAGATGACTCCAGTTTATCTGAGGAGACGTGGGAAAATGTTTAAATGGTGAAGCTGATGGGTACAAGCTCACTATACTACTCTACTTTTGTGTTCTAAAATCTCCATGTTAAAACAGCACAATGTGTTAAAAAATTTTTTAATGTAAACTTGCGTCAAGTAAAGAAAATGACATATAGAAGACCTCTGTCGCCTTGTATAAAAGTCAGGGTCTAACCAGGGGACCTTCTTTCTCTAATCTGTTCTTTTTATCCTCTTTCCAGGTCCTTATGTATACCCACTGAAAGATCCTAATGGGAAGAACCAGTTTATTCAAGTAAACTGGGGCTGAAAAACAATCTGCGCAAGATATTACGAAGTTTTAAATAGAGACTATGGAACATTCTTGAGATTGACCTCAGTATGTTAGATTATTGTTTCAAGGGACATCACTACATAATGTTCCTTAACATAATATAAATCAACCAACAATCCAGGGTATATGAGGGAGTTTACACGTACTTTTTAACGGTCTGTCCAACACCTTTACTTCTACCCTCCAAACAATTAGATTCATCAATAAAATAAATTATTACACCAAAATGCCTATGTACCTCTCAAGACTACAAACTACTTACAGAACAAAGACCCAAAACAATCAGAATGAAGCTGCAATTAAATGCTAAAGTACCTTTTATACTGTTTGCACTGCCTTATGGAGAAGAGGATTTTATTTCTCCAGCTGCCCTTTCAAAGCATCACAAAGCGGGGCGCCTGGGTGGCTCAGTGTGTTAAGCCTCCGACTCTTGATTTCTGGACAGGTCCTGATCTCAGGGTTGTGATCTCAGCTCTGCACTGGCATGGAGCGCTTAAGATTCTCTCTCCCCCTCCACCCCCTTTCCCTCTCTACAAGGAAAAAAAAAAAAAAAGAACTGCAAAGGAACAGGTATGAACACTGTCCTCATGAATACTACAGCAAACATAATAAGTGTGATTTTTTTAAGTGTGGTTAGTCTTTGAGGAGACTGACACCCAAGTTCGGCCTCCTGGGGGAGCAAGTTCCACAGGTTGATTCATCATTCTATTAAACCTGATTTTTATTTGCTCTTAAAGTTGTAAAATTAAGCCTTGGGAGCTTAAAATTAACATAAAGCGGAATGATCAGACGTCTTGAAAGTCTGTGATAGAGTAAAATTTTAGACCCGATAGAGGGACGTTCAGGCCTAGCAAGGACTACGATAGCTTGGAACCACTGCAAGTTTGGTGAAAGTGATTCTTCAGCAGATCCAGTAAAGTCCCAATGCTCCCGATGACCCCTCACCTGATTGAACTCCTCGTCAGCATATATATCAATCAAGTCCACTCCTTCTGACATGGCTCCGGAAGGAAGATCGCGAGCCCGGAGAACGGACAAAGTGAGGAAGATGCCACTGCGGTATCCTGAAAGAGGCAAGAGTTGGAAGGCATGAGGGTCCCGGGTTGGGAGGAGAGCAATGGTTGCCAGCCTCCCGTCTCCAGAGACGCAGCATCCCGGCAGCCCAAGCTCGGTCCCACCCGCTCCGCCCCGCCCCCGGCCTCGCGCCGCCCCTCGCTCTCCCAGGCCGCCGGGGCTCGCGGGGCTCGCTGCCCATCACCCTCGGGCCCGACCCGAGTTGCGCCGCAGCTGCCCGTGGCGCGACGGCAAAGTCCAGGCCTCTGCTCCTAAGGGCCCTGGGACGGCGCTGCGAAGAACGACCGCGGCGAAGCCCGCAGCCCCAGCCCGCCGCACCTGCCTAGGCCCCAAAGCGGTCCCGGCTAGAGTCCCCGCGGGTCGTGGAGCTCCAGCCGCCTCCGCTCCCCACCCAGGCCTAGTCCTCGCCCCCAACTAGGCCCGCCCCGCTCCCTCCCCACAGACTCGGCCCGGCGCCCTCGGCCTCCTCCCTCAAAGGCCCGCACCTCCCCCCGTCCGCCGACTCCCGCTGCCCCAAACTCAACCGACCCCCTCCCAGTTTCAGCGCTGGCCCCGAGCCCTCTTCCGGCCCCGCCGGCCCCCGGCCGCGCGCCCCCGTTACCGGGAATATGGCGGCGGCGGCGGCGAGTCCGGACTAGGCCCGAAGCGCGCGAACCGCTCTCGGCCCCAGTCCCGCCCCCCCCACCGCTGACGTCACACGCACAGCCACTTCCGCCACACGCAGGGACGCATCTTCCGGCTCTGGCCCTTCGGCGATGAGGTCCGTATTTCAGGCGTCCGGAAGTTCCCGGAAGTTGCCACGCCGTAGGCTTCCGGTGTGGGTCGGGAAGGATGGCGGTGGCCTCCATGTTACCGGGTCTGGCACGGGTGAGGAGAGTGGAGGTTTTAGGGTCCTGGGCAGGGCATAGTGGGGATTGAGTCTCGACTTCTAACGCAGTCATGGAGACTGCGAGGAGCATCCAGCTGCCTGATAGCCCAGGGCAAGGGCAGAACCAAGGAGAGATCCGCCTTGCAACGTAGGAGATTCAGGTCACATCCACTCTTTTCTTAGCCCACTGTGTGCCTGTCTCGTTCAGAGACCCAATTCAGATTTCACCTGTTTCCCAGGTGGAGCTGGTTGCACCGCCTCTGTGCGCCGCTTCTCTGTGTTAAGTCTGTTCTTTTGTCTAATACCTGTTATGATTCCACTTCTTAAGATCATTTTTTTTTTTATTGTAGGCTTTTCACACTGAACTTCTCTCCGTACTGCTTTTGTGCTTCTCATAAATTTTTTGTATCTTGCGTTTTCGTTGGTCTCAAGATGTTTTCGCATTCCCCTTTTGATTTCCTCTTTGACCCATTTGAACTATTGGTTATTCATGAGCTAGAGTGTGCTAATTTTCACATATTGGTGAATTTTCCAGTGTTCCTTCTGTTGTTGATCTCTAGTTTGATTTCACTGTGGTCATTTGTATCATTTTAATCTTTTTTAATTTGGTAAGACTTGTTTTGCAGCCTAAGGTGATCTATCTTGGAGAGTGTTCCCATCCAAGGAATTCATCTTTGAAAATAATGTATTCTTCTGCTGTTGGGTGAAATGTTCTATACATGTCCGTTTTGGTCCATTTGGTCTATAGTGTTGTTCAGGTCTTCTGTTTATTGATCTTCTATCTAGATGTTCTATCCATTACTGAATGTGGAATATTGAAATTTGTTTTTATTGTATTGCTGTTTATTTCCCCCTTCAGTTCTGTCAGTTTGCTTCATATGTTTGGGTGCTCTGATGTTGTTTGAATATATAATTGTTTTATATTCCTGGTACATTTACCCTGTTATCATTAGATAATAATGTTCCGTATCTCTCGTGACAATTTTTGACTTAAAGCCTGTTTTGATTGACGTAAGGAGGGCCATCTTTGCTCTTTGGTTACCATTTGCATGGAATCTTTTTCATCCTTTTGCTTTCAGCGTATGTATTCTTACATCTAAAAGCAGTCTGTAGTAACAGCATATAGTTGGATCCTATTTTGTTTTTAAGATTTTATTTATTTATTTGACAGAGAGAGCGAGAGCACAGACAGGGGGAACAGTAGAGGGAGAGGGAGAAGCAGGCTCCCCGCCAAGCAGGGAGCCCGATACGGGGCTCGATCCCAGGACCCTGAGATCACGACCCGAGCCGAGGGCAGATGCTTAACCATCTGAGCCACCCAGGCGCCCCGGATCCTGTTTTTTAATCCACTTAGCCACTCTAGTGTTTTGATTGGACAGTTTAGTTCATTTACATGTGAAATAATTACTGATCGAGAACTTATTATTGCCATTTTGTCAATTGTTTTGTATCAGTCTTATAGCTTTGTGTTTCACTGTCGTGTGTGTGTGTGTGTGTGTGTAGACAAGCTTTAATCCCTTTCTCATTTTCTATTGTGTATCTTCTATGGATGTGTTCTTCTTGGTTACCATGGGGCTTACATAAAACGTAATAATCTATTTTAAGCTGATAACAATTTAACTTCAGTTACGTACCAAAAAAACTTTTACTCTTTTACTTCTCACAGTTTACATTATTGATATCATAATTACATATATTTTTTTAAAAGATTTATTTATTTGAGAGAGAACACGCATGTGTACGGAGGTGGGGGTGGGGAGGAAGGGGCAGAGGGAGAGTGTCCCAAGCGGACTTGCAGAGCCCCAGCCCGGGGCTGGATCTCAGGACCCTGAGATCACGACCCAAACAGAAACCAAGAGTCGGTCACTTAACCAACTGTACCACCCAGGTGCCCCCACAATTACATATTTTTGTGTTGTATATCCATTAGCTTATATTTTCCTATTTTAACTTTTATACCAGAATTATGTACCACTATTACAGTATCCTGTGTTTGCCATATATTTATCTTTACCAATGATCTTTATGCTTTCATATGCTTTTGTGTTGCTGTCTGTTGTCCTTTGGGTCCTTTGGGCTTCTTGAATTTGGATGTTCATTTCTTTCACCAAATTTGGGAAGTTTTTAGCCATTTTTTTTGTATTATCATTATTATTTTTTTTAAGTAAGCTATATACCCAACGTGAGGCTTGAACTCGTGACCCCGAGATCAAGAGTCGCATGCTCTACTGACTGAGCCAGCCAGCTGCCCCTGGCCGTTTCTTTAAATAAGTTTTCTGCCCCTTTCTCTTTTCTCCTTCTGGGTTCCTATAATATTTATATTTGTCTACTTGATGATGTCTTATAAGTCCCTTGGGCGCATTTCAATCTCGTCTGCTTGGGAAATTTCAAATGACCTGTCTTTGAGTTCACTGATTCTTTCTTCAGCTTGATCAAGTCTGCCGGTTAACCCCCGTAGTGAATTTTTTTCATTTGGTTATTGTATTCTTCAGTTCCAAAATTTGTTTGGTTCTTTTTAATATTTCTTCTGTTGATATTCTGTTCATGCCTTGTTTTCTTAAGCTAATTGAACGTTTTGTTGACAGTTGTTTTGAATTCTTTGTCAGGTAATTCATATGCCTCTGTTTCTTTAGGGTCGGCTTCTAGAGATTTATTTTTGATTGGACCATGTATTTCTGTTTCTTCATGTCCCTTGCAACTTTATGTTGGATCCACACTTGAAAAAAGTCACCCCTCCCAGTCTTTTTGGATTGGCTAGAGAAAGACCTTCACCAGTCAGCTTGGCTAGAGATTCCAGGAGTCTCTCAGACTTTTTGTGTGAATAGGTCTTCTCTAGGCTTGTGTGTGTAAATTCCCAGTTCAAGGATTTGCTGGCTTCTTTTTTCAGGAGTCTCTGACCTGGTTTCTGGATTTCTCATAAAGGGAATTGGTCCATGTATTGCTCAGTTGGTGTCTCCGTGAGAGAGTGTGGGACTTCCTGTTCCATCATCTTGCTGGTGTCACTGCCTTCTCACTGCATCTTGATAGGTTTTGCCCTTCTCTAGATTGGGAGCCTTTGGGGGATTAGGGACTGTGCCATCACTGTATGCTCAGATTTCAACACAAGCAAGTGACTAAAATATATACCATTCTATAAGAATTTTAAAGGAATATAAAGGAAGGAGAAAATATTTCTGCTGGAGAATTTCCGGGAAGGTACTAGTTAAGAGCACATTTGCACTTAGGGTTGGGTTCCAGTCCTAACTGCAGGGACTCTTTGGGTGACCTTGGTAAGTTATTTAACCTCTCTGAGCCTCAGCTTCCTATGCTATAAAGTGGGGACAGTATCAACGTAATTTTTTTTTAAAAGATTTTATTTATTTATTTGACAGAGAGGGAACACAAGCAGGAGGAGTGGGCGAGGGAGAAGCAGGCTTCCTGCTGAGCAGGGAGCCCAATGCAGGTCTCGATCCCAGGACCTGGGATCATGACCTCAGCCAAAGGCAGACACTTAACAACTGAGCCACCCAGGTGCCCGTCAACATAATTTCTTAAGAACTAAATGAGATTGAATGCATTTAGCACCTAGTAAGTGTTGAGTGAATGACAGTGATGGTAGTCCTTATAAAGATGTTTGTGGTTTATTTCAGATGTTTGCTCTGTCAAGGCGCCATCTAGTGTCTCCTTTGCTCAGCACACCATCTTTCGGCCGTTTCTACAGAGGTGACAGCCCAACAGATTCCCAAAAAGACATGATTGAAATCCCTTTGCCTCCATGGCAGGAGCGAACTGATGAGTCCATAGAAACCAAAAGAGCCCGGCTGCTCTATGAGAGCAGAAAGAGGGGAATGTTGGAAAACTGTATTCTGCTTAGGTAGGGAAATATGAGACTTGGTGTCACTTTCTCTTTTATTGGAGATAGCTTTTTCAACTTTGTTCTCTCTCTTTCTTGTTTTAGCCTCTTTGCTAAAGAATATCTGCACCACATGACTGAGAAACAGCTGAACCTCTATGATCGTCTGATTAATGAGCCCAGTAATGACTGGGATATTTACTACTGGGCCACAGGTACTGGGCATGATCAGCAAGCAGCATGATGTGGAAAAATAGGATGATTCGCGCTGATCTGGGTCTGGAATTGTGTCCTAGGCAATTTTTTTCTTTTTCTTTTTTTTTTTAAAGATTGTATTTATTTATTTGAGAGAGAATGAGAGATAGCACAAGAGGGAAGAGGGTCAGAGGGAGAAGCAGACTCCCTGCTGAGCAGGGAGCCCGATGTGGGACTCGATCCCGGGACTCCAGGATCATGACCTGAGCCGAAGGCAGTCGCTTAACCAACTGAGCCATCTAGGCGCCCGGCAATTTTTTTCTTTGTTCATGAAGTCGATACTCAACCCCAGCACTCTGCAAATTTTTCAAACTGTGCAAAATTGTTTTATTAAAGTTCTTTGTTTGCAAGCAATAGAAACCTGTCTAACGTAAGCAAAAAGGGAGTTTAGTGGAATGGTGTGGAAAGGCAGAGTTACAGAAAAACCAGGCTGGGAATGGTGTGGAACCTGACAGCTCTAGAAAGCTACATAGCAAGAGCTCCTTGATAGTCTCACTCCAGCACTGCCTTTGGGAAGAACAGTTCTCACTGTGTATAGTTAGGATTATCTTTGGCTATCAGGTTAAAATAAAAAAAATCGGAACAATAATAGCCTAAACAAATCAGGACTGTACTTTTCTCTCATAACAGCAGTCCAGAGGTAGGCATTCTATTCAGAAGTCATGAGGTCCAGATTCCCCTTGACGTGTTCCTTCATCCTCAGCATGTGCCGTCTACCTTGTGGTCGAAGGTGGTTGCTGTGGCTCTCTCTGTCACGTCTGTGTTTCAGCCAGGAGAAAATGTATAGAAGCACACGCCTTATTTTTTATAAATCCTTCTCAGGAGATTATGCACCACACTTCCAATAGTTTTCCATTGGCCGCAGTTCAGTCACATGATGACGCCTAGTCACGGGGAAAAAATAATATAGTCTATTTCATGCATCCAGTTACAGCGGGGGTTCTGTTGTCAAGGAAAAATGGGAGAATGGGTATTAGGGTACATCTCATCCATTTCTGTCACACTCTGGGTCTTCTGGTTTTATGTTTCCAGTCGAGATTTGAATCATAAAATAGAAACCATTCTGTAGGTTCTGAGTATAAAGGGTGATAATACGGAGTCTCAAGGCATATATAAACATTGGGAAGCCCACAAAGTATAAAATATTTCCTCTCTGGTCCTTTGGTATTGTTGAGTAAAAGTCCACCGTGTGATTGTACCTCCCCAGTTTATCTGTTGACCGGTTGAGGGACGTCAGGGTGTTTCCAGTTTTTGGTGATTCTGAATAAAGCCACTATCAGTGTTCGCATATAGCTTTTTGTGGATGTAGGTTGTAGTTTTTCTTGGGTACATACCCAGGAGAAGGGTCACTGAGTCGTATGGTAAGAGTTATGACAAACTTTCTGTAACGGGACAGGGAGGAAGTACTTTAGGCTGCGCAGACCCTACAGTCTTTGTCTTGAGTCTTCACTCCTGCAGTTGGAGCGCACACGCTGCCACTGCTACGGTGTTGCAGTCAGATCTTATTGACAGACACTGAACTTTGAATTTCATAGAATTTTCGTGTGTTACGAAATACCCTTTTGACTTTTTTCCTGAACCATTTAAAAGTCATTCTTAGCGCACAGGCCATGCAAAAACAGGCAGGAGCCTGTAGTTTGCTCACTCCTGTGTTGAGTGGAAGAGACCAGACTCCAAGTCCAGCCATCCATACTGTATGATGCCATTTTTATGATATTCTGGGAAGGGCAAAACTATAGGGGCAGAAAACAAACTAGCAGTTGTCAGGGACTGGATGTGAAGTTCCCCATCCTTACCAGCACTTGGTATTATCAGGATTTTGTTTTTGTTTTTAGCCATTCTAAGAAATAGGCAGTGATCTTTCACTGTAGTGAATTGACATGGCCCTGATGATTAAGGATGTTGAGGGTCTTTTTTTTTTTTTTTAAAGATTTTATTTTTATTTACTTGACAGAGAAAGACACAGCAAGAGAGGGAACACAGGCAGCGGGAGTGGGTGAGGGAGAAGCAGGCCTCCCGCAGAGCAGGGAGACCGATGTGGGACTCAATTCCAGGACCCTGGGATCATGACCTGAGCCGAAGGCAGACGGCTGAGCCACCCAGGCGCCCCTTGAGGGTCTGTTTTAAGTGCTTATTTGCCATTCATACATCCTTGCTAGTATGTCTCTTCAAATCTTAGCCCACCTTTGTTTTTTTCTTAATCGGGTTGGTTCATTTTCTAATTGAGTTTTGAGTGTTCCTTACTTATGTCATTCAAATCCTTTGTCAGATACATGTCCTGCAAATTTCTTTCTCCTTGCTTATGGCTTGTCTTCGCATTTTCTTAACATTGTCTTTCGAAGAGCAGTTTTTAATTTTGGTGAAGTACAATATTTTATTTGGTGAGTTAGTGGATTGTGCTTTTCATACTGTGTCTAAGAATCTGCCTTATCCGAAGTCACAAAGATTTTCTCTGTTTTCTTCTAGGAATTTTATAGTTTTAGAATCACCTGTTCAGTTTCTCCAAAAAAAAACCCTACTTGGATTTTGATTGGAGTTGTGTTGATCAACAGATCAATTTGGGAAAATTCCTTTAGCAATTTAGAATTGCCTAATCTATGAACATGCTGTATCTCCCATTTATTTTGGTCTTTGACTTCTTTTTTTTTTTAACATTTAATATTTTAAAAAAATTTATTTGAGATAGAGAGTGAGCACATGAGCTGGGGAGAGGGACAGAGGGAGAGGGAGAAGCTGACTTCCTGCTGAGCAGGGAGCCTGACATGGAGCCCGACGTGGGGCTCGATCCCAGGACCTTGAGATCATGACCTGAGCCAAAGACAGACGCTTAACTGACTGAGCCGCTCAGGCGCCCTTAGGTCTTTGACTTCTTTAATCAGCATATTATCTATTGTTGTATAACAAATTACCCCAAAACTTACTGGCTTTAAACAAACCCACCTTTAATATCTCAACCTTTCTGTGGATCTGGAATCCACTCATGGCTTAGTTGGGTGCTGTGCTTTAATCTGTTACGAAGTTATAACCAAGGTGTCAGCCTAGGGTCTGGGGTTTCATCTGGAGGCTCAGCTAGGGGAGGATCTGCTTTAAGTTCTCTCTGGTGTTGGCACAATTAAGTTCCTCATAGGTTCCCCACCTGCAGGCCTAGGTTCTTTGCTGGCTGTTGCCTAGAGGCTGCCTTCTGTTCCTTGTCCCAAGGGCCTCTCCTACTTGGAAACTTGCTTCTTCAAAGTGTGCAAGCCAAGAAGGCAAGAGAGGAGCAAGATGGAAGTCTCAGTGTTTTGTAACCTAGTCACAGGAATTACATTGTGTTATCCTTGCTGTATTCTGTTGGTTAGAATCAGGTCATTAGGTCCAGCCCAGGGCAGGGTTAGGGGTGAGAATCACACAAAAGCATGATACCTGGAGGTGGAGATCACTGGGGGCCATTCTAGAAGTCTGACTGCTACAATCCGTCTTTTGTAGTTTTCAGCATATTTTGGACATATTTTGCTGGATTTGTACCTAAGTATTTCATATATTTTGGTGCTATTATAAATGGTACTTTAAGAAAAATTTTCAATTTCCCGTTGTTGGTAGAATGTAGAAATACAGTTGATTTTTGTATACCGTGACCTTGCTAAGCTCACTCAGATCGAGAAGCTGTTTTGTAGATTCTTTGGGATTTTCTGTGTAGACAGCTGTGTCATCTGTGAACAGAGAATGTTTTCTTCTTTTCCAGTCTGTATGCCCTTTATATCATTAATTTGCTTTATTGCACTGTCTGGGCTCTCCGGTGTAATGCTGAATAGTGGCAGTGAGAGCATCCTTGGCTTGTTCCCAGTGTTAGGGGGAACGTATTCCATCTTTCACTATTAATATACTGTTAACTGTAGGTTAGTTGTAAAATGCCTTTTATCAGATTGAGAAAATTTCCTTCTGCTTTAGTATATTGAGACTTTTTTCATAAATAGATGTTGAATTTTGTCAGGTGCTTTCTAGGCATTTCTGTAGAGGTGATAATTTGGTCATATGATTTCTTTCCCCTTAGTTTATTAATATGATGAATTTTTATTTTATTTTTTTTTTAAAGATTTTATTTATTTATTTGAGAGAATGAGATAGAGAGCATGAGAGGGGGAGAGGGTCAGAGGGAGAAGCAGACTCCCTGCTGAGCAGGGAGCCCGATGCGGGACTCGATCCCGGGACTCCAGGATCATGACCTGAGCCGAAGGCAGTCGCTTAACCAACTGAGCCACCCAGGCGCCCGATGAATTTTTTTTTTAAAGGTTTTATTTATTTATTTGACAGAGAGAGAGACAGCGAGAGAGGGAACACAAGCAGGGGGAGTGGGAGAAGGAGAAGCAGGCTTCCCGCCGAGCAGGGAGCCCGATGCGGGGCTTGATCCCAGGACCCTGGGACCCTGACCTGAGCCGAAGGCAGACGCTTAATGACTGAGCCACCCAGGCGCCCCTGTGATGAATTTTTGATTGATTGGTTTTCAAATATTGAACCAACCTTGCATTCCCGGGATAAACACCACCTGGTCTTTATGTATTGTTTGATTTGATTTGCTAATATTTTGAGGATCTTTGTATCTGTCTTCATGGGAGTGTTAGTGTGTAGTTTTCTTGTAATATTATCTGGTTTTGAAGAGGGTAACGCTGGCTTCATAAAATGAGTTGTGAAGGGGCGCCTGGGTTGCTCAGTTGTTAAGCGTCTGCCTTCAGCTCAGGTCATGATCCCAGGGTCCTGGGATCGAGCCCCGCATAGGGCTCCCTGCTCAGCGGGAAGCCTGCTTCTCCCTCTCCCACTCCCCCTGCTTGTGTTCCCTCTCTCGCTGTGTCTCTCTCTGTTAAATAAATAAATAAAATCTTTTAAAAAAAATGAGTTGTGAAGTGTTCTCCTCTTTCATTTTCTAGAAGAGTATATAGAGTCTGAGGTTTCCTGTGTTGGAAGTTTTTAACTGTAAGGTCTAATT